AACATTTTAAATATAAGACTATTTTAGCACTGTCTTAATTATCTCTGTGGGTACATCAAAAAGCTAGAAAGATATGAAGTTAACAACCTAACATCACAACTAAAAGAGCTAGAGAACCAAGAGCAAACAAACCCTAAAGCTAGCAGAAGACAAGAAATAGCCAAAATGATAGCTGAACTAAAGGAGATAGAGATATGAAAAACCCTTCAAAAAAATCAATGAATCCAGGAGCTGGTTTTTGGAAAAAATTAATAAAATAGATAGACTGCTAGCCAGACTAATGAAGAAAAGAGAAAAAATCAAATAAACACAATCAGAAATGATAGGGGGATATCACCACTGACCCCACAGAAATATAAAAACCATCAGAGAATACTATAAACACCTTTATGCACGTAAACTGGAAAACCTAAAAGAAATGGATAAATTCCTGGACACGTACAGCCTCCCAAGACTGAAACAGGAAGAAATTGAATTCCTGAATAGGCCAATAACAAGTTCTGAAACTGAGGCAGTAATAAATAGCCTACTAACAACAACAAAAAAGCCCAGGACCAGACAGATTCACAGCTGAATTTTACCAGAGGTACAAAGAACCCAAAAATTGAAAAGGAAAGACTCCTCCCTAATTCATATTAAGAGGCCAGCATCATCCTGATACCAAAATCTGGCAGAGATACAACAAAAAAAGAAAACTTCAGATAAATATCCTTGATGAACATTGATGCAAAAATCCTCTACAAAATACTGGCAAATCAAATCCAGCAGCACATCAAAAACTTATCCATCACGATCAAGTTGGCTTCATCCCCGAGATGAAAGGTTGGTTAAACATACACAAATCAATAAATGTGATTGATCATATAAACAGCACTAAAGACAAAAACCACATGATTATCTCAATAGATGTAGAAAAACCCTTTGATAAAATTCAATATCCCTTCATGTTAAAAATTCTCAATAAACTACATATTGAAGGAACATACCTCAAAATAATAACACCCACATATGACAAACCCACAGTCAATATCATACAGAATGGGCAAAAGCTGGAGGCATTTCCCTTGAAAACCAGCACAAGACAAGGATGCTCTCTCTCACCACTCCTATTCAACATAGTATTGGAAGTTCTGACCAGGACAATCAGGCAAAAGAAAGAAATAAAGGGTATTCAAATAGGAAGAAAGGTAGTCAAATTATCTTTGTTTGCAGATGAAATTCTTCTATATCTAGAAAACACCATTATCTCAGCCCAAAAGCTTCTTAAGCTGATAAGCAACTTCAGCAAAGGCTCAGGATATAAAATCAATGTGCAAATATCACTAGCATTCCTATATACCAACAACATGCAAGCTGAGAGTCAAATCATGAATGAACTTCCATTCACAATTGCTACAAAAAGAATAAAATTCCTAGGAATACAGCTAACAAGGGAAGTGAAGGACCTCTTCAAGGAGAACTAAAAACCACTACTAAAAGAAATCAGAGAGGATTTCAGTGAGGACCCAAACAAATGGAAAACATTTCATTCTCGTGGATAGGAAGAATCAATATCATGAAAATGGTCATACTGCCCAAGGTAATTTATAGATTCAATGCTATTTCCATTAAACTACCATTGACATTCTTCACAGAACTGAAAAAAACTATTTTAAAACTCATATGGAACCAAAAAAGGGCCCAAATAGCCATGACAATCCTAAGCAAATAAAACAAAGTTGGAGGCATCACACTACTTGATTTCTAACTATACTACAAGGTTACAGTAAATAAAACAGCATGGTACTGGTACAAGAACGGACACATAGACTAATGGAACATAATAGAGAACTCATAAATAAGACCACACACCTACAACCATCTGATCTTCAATAAATCTGACAAAAACTAGTAATGGGGAAAGGATTCCCTATTTAATAAATAGTGCTGGGAGAAATGGCTAGCCATATGCAGAGAATTGAAACTGGACCCCTTCCTTATACCATATACAAATATTAACTCGAGATGGATTAAAGACTTAAACGTAAAACCCAAAACTACAAAAACCTTAGAAGAAAATCTAGGCAATACCATACAGGACATAGGCACAGACAATTGCGACAAAAGCAAAAATTGACAAATGAGATCTAATTAAACTAATGACCTTCTATGCAGCAAACAAAACTCATCAGAGTGAACAGACAACCTACAGAATGGGATAAAATTTTTGCAATTTATCCATCTGACAAAGGTCTAATATCCAGAGCCTCCAAGAAGCTTAAACAAATTTACGAGAAAAAACAACCCCATTAAAAAGTAACCAAAGGACATGAACAGACACTTCCCAAAAGAAGACATACATGAGGCCAAAAAACATATGAAAAAAGCTCAACATCACTGATAGTTAGAGAAATGCAAATCACAATCACAATGAGATACCATCTCAAGCCAGTCAGAATGGCTATTATTAAAAAGTCAAAAAACACCAGATGCTGGCAAGGTTGCAGAGAAAAAGAAATGCTTTTACACTGTTGGTGGGAGTGTAAATCAGCAACCACTGTGGAAGACTGTGACGATTCCTCAAAGACCTAGAACCAGAAATACCATTTGACTGAGCAATCTCATTACTGGCTATATACCCAAAGGAATATAAATCATTCTGTTACAAGGATACATGCACGCGTATGTTCACTGCAGCACTATTCACAATAGCAAAGATACGGAATCAACTGAAATGCCCATCAATGATAGACTAGATTAAGAAAATGTGGTACATATACACCATGGAATACTATGCAGCCATAAAAAGGAACAAGATCATGTCCTTTTCAGGCACATGGATGGAGCTAGAAGCCACTATTCTTAGCAAACTAATGCAGGAACAGAAAACGAAACACCGTGTGTTCTCACTGGGAGCTGAATGATGAGAACACATGGACACATGTCAGGGAACAACACACACAGGGGCCTGTTGGGGGCAGGGAGGAAGAGCATAAGGAAGAATAGCTAGTGGCTGCCAGGCTTAATACCTAGGTGATGGGATGATCTATACAGCAAACCACCATGGCACATGTTTATCTATGTAACAAACCTTCACATCCTGCACATGTGCCCCTGAGCTTAAAATAAAAGTTGAAGAAAGAAAATTATCATTGTGGGTAACTATTAGAAGTGAAATTACGCCGGGCGCGGTGGCTCAAGCCTGTAATCCCAGCACTTTGGGAGGCCGAGACAGGCGGATCACAAGATCAGGAGATCGAGACCATCCTGGCTAACACGGTGAAACCCTGTCTCTACTAAAAAATACAAAAAACTAGCCGGGCGAGGTGGCAGGCGCCTGTAGTCCCAGCTACTCGAGAGGCTGAGGCAGGAGAATGGTGTAAACCCGGGAGGCGGAGCTTACAGTGAGCCGAGATCCGGCCACTGCACTCCAGCCTGGGCGACAGAGCAAGACTCCGTCTCAAAAAAAAAAAAAAAAAGTGAAATTACTGACACAAAAGATCAAATATTAATTTTTTTTTTTTGAGATGAAATCTCACTCTCTCCCCCAGGCTGGAGTGCAATGGCATGATCTCGACTCACTGCAACCTCTGCCTCCCGGGTTCAAGCAATTCTCTCTCCTGCCTCAGCCTATGAAATAGCTGGGATTATAGGCACCCGCCACCACGCCCAGCTAGTTTTGGTATTTTTAGTAGAGAGGGGGTTTCACCATTCTGGTCAGGCTGGTTTTGAACTCCTGACCTCAGGTGATCCACCCGCCTCAGCCTCCTAAAGCACTGGGATTACAGGTGTGAGCCACTGTGCCTGGCCAATATTTTTATTTTTAAATAATTTACAAAGTTGATCTTCAGAAAAATTTCACCAATATATTCAATAAGAGCAGGGGAGGGTGCATGTGTCCCCAGTCCTTCAACAAATCTGTTAAAAATTTTCATGTAATCTAATCTATCAGCATTTGTCTCTTTGTTATATAGTCACACTGCATATCGATTGGCCAACGACAACAGACAGCATAGAATACGACAGGCTATAGTATACAGCCTAGGAGTGTAGTAGGCTATACCAAATAGGTTTGTATAACCACACTCTACGATGTTCGCACCACCACGAAATTGCCTGATGCATTTCTCAGAACATATCCCCATTATTAAGTGGCACGTGACTATATTTAAAGGCCTTCCACACCAAAAGCTTATGTGGAGATAAACGGAGACTACCCATAAGAGAACAAACAAGTGCTACTTATTCACAGCTTTTTTATAGCAAGGAAGTCAAGCCACCATCATTTGAATCTGGCAGAGATTCAAAGGCAGGCAGGGGAGTGGGAAAGCTTTATAGCGGAAAACAAAAACACAAAGACTTCAAGTATGCTCTGATTGGATGTTGTTGACGTGAGGAAGCTAGAGGCAGGCCAACTAGAGGCAAGCATCCTATGTGATTGAGTATGGGTTCATATTTGGGTTTTTCTTGTTTGTCATCAGGTCAAAAAAATTAAAAAGGCCAGAAAGGCTAGCAAATTGATTAAAGTCCTGAACATTTCTGCAGATGCTATACTTTGGCTTCTCGAGCTGCTTGTAGCAACGGTTGTGGGTCTCAGTTCTATTTTCGTATGTGGTCTGGTCTTTGTCTCTGTATATTCAGTTTCTCACTTAAGATAAATTAATCGTTTTTATTTTGCTTCAAATATAACTTTTTTTATTCATTTGAAAATTTATGTTTGTACATGTCAGGAAAAAGGGACAATTTCATTTATTTTGGAAAATTTTTATTAAGTTTTTTCTAAAGTCGATATTCTATTCTTTATACAGTACTTGAGTTCACATTTATACGATTTTATCGGGTGGGTCTACGTTATTTCTGTGGAATTTAAGAGCAACATTATCAAGACTCCTCCTCTGGACCGCCCAACTCATTTAAAAAAAAAAAAAAAACAACTTTGCGATTTTCATTAAAATTCCTTCTTTGATTAATTTCTTAACAAGAAGAAAAGGACAAAAGGGTCCAGGGAGGTGAGAGGGTACCTGCTGGAGAGAGGTGGTGGGTAGCTGGAAGCGGCTGGCTAGGAGGCGGGGCGTGGGGCGTGGGGCGGTGGAACTCCTGTGCTGCGGCATTCACGTGATCCGCCCGGGCGCAGATGTGGGCACCGGTCCGAGCGCCCGCCCTCTGTCCCCGCGGCTGGGTCCCGTCTGCTCCAGTTCCTGGGCTCCTAATTCTTGGTCCAGCTTCCTCCAGGTCAGTGTGCGGGCCTTCCACGCTGCCAGCGGAATACTGGAATGGCGGAAGGGGAACGGGTACAGTACCGGGAAAGGCTGGGGGTGGGGTCGGGTCGAGTCGAGGGAAGCTGGCCCGAGTGTGGACAGAGATGGCGGTGGGAAAACGGCTAAAGGTGGCTGAGGGGGAGCACGTAGGCAGTGGGCAGAGGGTGAGGAAGGCGAGCACCTCCAAGTATCCATGCTCGCTTTCCAGGCACATCCTCTTTTCTGCTCTCCGTCCATTTTGGAGCCGGAGATGGTGGGCTGGGGACGCCCCAGTAGTGAGACAGTGGAAGTAAACCCCCTCTGCCGTTCCCGTACATAGAGAAAAACGTTGACCGCGAGGCTGGGGAGGAGAGTTGCCTCTGAGGAAGAAGGACACAGAGACCCAAAATTAGTTTGGAAAGCATCCTGGTTTGGTGCCCGAGGCCTGGAAAGAAATGGCGGCTGGGGTGCGGGGGAGGTAGGGGAGGAAAACGTTGGATGAGAAGGGCCTGGACTCAGGAAAGGGAACCGAGTCCCTGTGAGCCCGCTGAGCGCGCAGCCCCTACCCCTGTCTCCTGTCTGTCCGCAGGTCTGCGCGTCTGTTGTTCCCAGCGCTCTGCGAAGCCTGAAAAAGAGGAGCAACCTGTCCAGAATCCCCGCAGGTCCGTGAACGTAGGGGGCTGCATGGACAGGGGCCCACAAGGGTTGAGAGTGTGGAGGGCCCGGCCAGAGCCGAATTGGGGCCCCCGCCCATCCCCCCACCCACATTAACACACACCTTACCAGGCTGAACCACTGCAGAGAAAGTGACAGGGCCTGCCAGGCAACGGCTGGCTCACGTGTGTGGGAGGAGTGGCAGGCTACGTGGTGGGCAGAAGGCCCTCTTGGAGGCCCCGCCAGCTCAGGGGAACCCTCATCAGGGGTGAGATGCAAGTACTATCCAGACCTGCATTTCATCCCACGCACTCGGTCTCCCATGTCTCCTCTTTGTCTCCTCTTCCCTCCACCCCCATCCCCCAGGGCACGAAAAGGAGGGGAAATCTCGACATGGAAAAACTCTACAATGAAAATGAAGGAATGGCTTCAAACCAAGGAAAGATGAAAAATGAAGAACAGCCACAGGACGAGAGAAAGCCAGAAGTAGCTTGTACTCTGGAAGACAAGAAGTTGGAAAACGAGGGAAAGACAGAAAACAAGGGCAAAACAGGAGATGAGGAAATGTTAAAGGATAAAGGAAAGCCAGAGAGTGAGGGAAAGGCAAAAGAAGAAGGAAAGTCAGAGAGGGAGGGAGAGTCAGAGATGGAGGGAGGATCAGAGAGAGAGGGAAAACCAGGGATAGAGGGAAAGCCAGAGGGTCAAGGAGAGCCAGGGAGTGAAACAAGGGCTGCAGGAAAGCGCCCAGCTGAGGATGATGTACCCAGGAAAGCCAAAAGAAAAACTAATAAGGGGCTGGCTCATTACCTCAAGGAGTATAAAGAGGCCATACACGATATGAATTTCAGCAATGAGGACATGATAAGAGAATTTGACAATATGGCTAAGGTGCAGGATGAGAAGAGAAAAAGCAAACAGAAATTGGGGGCGTTTTTGTGGATGCAAAGAAATTTACAGGACCCCTTCTACCCTAGAGGCCCAAGGGAATTCAGGGGTGGCTGCAGGGCCCCACGAAGGGACATTGAAGACATTCCTTATGTGTAGTGTCCCTGGCAGGCATTTACCAGGCCATGTGCTTTACCCCTACGGTAGTACTTTACTTTAGGCATCCCTCCTGTTACTAGCAGCCTTTTGACCCAACTGCAACGCGGTGTTCTTAGTAGCAAATTTTCATCCGTTACATGGAAAGAATGTTGATGGTGCATTGTGAAATTAAAAAACACAACTTGCAGAACCAAACATATGGCATCAGTACATTTTTGTAAAACTACAAAGATACCTAGTAATTTATGTATAGAAAACAATTCTGAAAGCTGTGTCAACTAAAAGATTAACAGTGGTTATCTGTGCGTGATTTTTTCTGTACTTTTTTGTTCATCTGTCCATTTTTCTCCTAAAAACAGATTTCTTAATCATAAAAATAATAAAAGTTAAAATATTGGAAAACAGTGAATATTTGAATTTCATTCATTTGAATAAGCATTCAAATGAACTGCCCAGTGAACTTATAAAGACAGTGGATATACTTAAAATTCTTGTTGTCAGGACATAAAATGATGGGTAAAAGTTGCATTACCTCTGGGACTGGAAGCTGGAGGAGTCAACTCGATGGTTATTACAGCTCCATTGCTGTAAGGGACAGCCTTGACATCTGTGAAACGGGGATAAAATTAGCCTAGACATGTGGAGAAGATCAAATGAGGTATTGAGTGTGTGAGCTGTGTTAGGCTGGCTCCTACTCTCTCCCCTTGCACTAGCAGAACCAGTACCCAGTCAGACGCTTGGGGAGGGCTGAAGGAGGTCTCACCTGTGCCCAGAAATAAGTCCAGACAGCTGAGAGATGGGTGCCACTCTTTCTGGGTAATGCCATACTTGAAAGGTAGTATGCCCCTTTCTCATGGATCCTGCACCCTCCTAAGGCAGTAGCTGCTGCTGCTGGGCTGGAGACCATGATGGACTAAGCAACACTATGTCCCAACAGAAAAGTGGAGAATTCCGTCTCTACCTACAATAGAGTTATCCTAATTCAGGTTGTTAGTACCCAATTGTCACTTGGGCCTTGATAATTTATAAAGTTTTTACAAAACACTGCTTTCCATGTTTTTTGTTGACTTGTGTGTATTTTTGCATATAGCCGTTTTCCACCGGATTTAGATAGTGGAGATTGAGCCAGGAGAAAAAGCTGAGTGACGAGATGCTGTGCTATTCTCATTTGTTAATCTCTAGTCTGCTGACCCTTTTTTCTTACGAATTGTCTTCCAGGAAATTTCTGTTAAGCTCTGCTTTACTATTTCAACAGACCCATCTACCTATGTGATTTTTTCCCCCTGGCTCTTGAGTAGCTTTTTATTTCGTTACAGTATTTTTTTAAAATAAACTTTTAGGATGGTTTTAGATCTACAGAATTATTACAAAGAGTACAGAGTATCCCATATGCACTGTCCCCTATTATTAACATCTTACATTAGCAGGGTGGATTTGTCACAGTTAACCAATATTGATAGATATATTATTAAGTAAAGTATGTACTTTATTCAGATTTCTCCTAATGTCCTTTTTCTGTTCCAGGATCCCATTCAGGTTACATTTAGTCGTCATGTCTCCATAGGCTCCACTTAGCTGTGAGAGCTTTTCAGACTTTGCCTGTTTTTTGATGACCTTGACACTTTTGAGAAGTATTGGTCAGGTATTTTGTGTAATGTCCCAAAACTTGGGTTTGCTTGTCTTGTGATTACACAGGCATTATGTGTTTTGGGAAGAAGACCACAGAGGTAAAATGCCATTCTCATCATATAAAGGGGACATACCGTCAATACATTTACCACTGTTCTTATCCTTGGTAACCTGACTGAAGTAGTGTTTGTCAGGTTTCTCCAAGGTTAAGTTTTATTTTTCACTTTCCATACTGTATTCTTTGGAATAAAGTCACTATTGGCAGCCCACACTTAAGGAGTAGGGCATTATTACCTCCTTGAAGGCAGAGTATTGACAAAAATTATTTGGAGTCCCTCTGCAGAGGATATTTGACTCTTCTTCCCCACCTATTTATATATTCAGTTTATTTGTAACAATGTAGGCTCATGACTATTTTACTTTGGATTAACGCAATACTACTTTACATGTTTTTGCTCAAATTGTTCCAGCTTTGGTCACTGGGAGCTTTCAGTTGGCTCCTGTATTCATTTGACATGCTTCCATTGTTATGTTGTGGAGGGTTTTTTTTTAGTATTTACTTACATTCTGGCACTACAAGACGCTATAGCTTTATCTTTCATATTGCCCAAGTCCTAGAATCAGTCATTTCTCCAAGTAGCCCTGGTATCTTATGTTGGAGAATGGTGTTAGAAAAACAAGACCTGGGTGCTAGACACACTCATTGCTGCTGAAATAAAATTGCTTCTAGGCCCTCTCAGTTGACATAGCAAAAAGATATATGTGTATATAATACCCATACATATATAAAGTATTTATGGAAATATAAATATTTCTGTATATAACCATCTGTATTTATATAAGGCTAAACATGAATTTATACTAGTGTCTCCAACTACAGTCTATGGATCATTCTAGCCTCCCCTTGCTTATTTGTAACCTTCTACTCCAACTGTGAGAAACCTGTCTCCTACCATCTGCCATCCATTTTATTGTTTATTAATTATATAAATATATAGTGGTTTCAAAACTGTAAACCTGTAACCCTGTGGAAAACAACTTTATCAACTGGAGTAGAGTGCCATGTACAGTTCCTTTTGCCTTTAGTCTTACAGACTCCACTCATTTCCAAATTTACCTATGTCAGTACCTTATTCCCCCATCCCTTTCAGTGAGGTTGTTTCACTCTTCTGTCACATTCTGCATTTGGTGACTGCTATTATAAATGGCACTTTTACATTTCGAGTGCTAATTGTTCATTGCTAGTATATAGGAAAGCAACTGACTTTTGTATATTAATCTTATATGCTGGGACTTTGCACCAGGCATTTGTCAGTTATTTGGCAGCCATGTCAACTGCAGATAAAGACAGTTTATTTCTTCCTTTCCAATCTGTATATGTTTTATTGCCCTTAAAAATTTTTATTTTGTAGAATTGGTACATCTCATCTATATTAACAAATTTGTAGGTGTGGAGTTGTTCATATTAACTTCTTAATGTCCATGGGATCAATAATGATAACTCCACCTTCATTTCTTTTTTAAAATTTTTTTGTAGAGCTATGTTGCCCAGGCTGGTCTCAAACACCTGAGCCAAAGTGATCCTCCAGCCTCAGCCTCCCAAAGTGCTGAGATTAGAGGTGTGAGCCACAACACCTGGCCTCATTTCTGATATTGTTAATTTGTCTTCTTTCTTTGTTCTTGGTTAGCTTGGCAAGTAATCTGTCAATTTTATTTACCCTTTTTAAAGAACCAGCTTTGGTTTAATTGATTTCCTCTGTTGTTTTTCTGTTTTCAGTTTATTTCTTCTCTAATTTTTATTATATCTTTTGTTTGCTCTAGGCTTAAGTTACTCCTCTTTCTCTAGTTTCCTAATGTGAAAGATTAGATTATGGATTATAGATTTTTCCTTTCTCATATATGCGTTTAAGCTAGAAATTTTCCCCTAAGCACTGCTTTGGGGAATCCCACAAATTTGATATGTTGTATTTCATTTATTTCAAAATATTTTTACATTTCTCTTGAGGATTCTTCTTTGAATTGTGTTATTTAGAAGCATGTTTAATTTCCAGATATTTGAGTTTTCCATCTACCTTTCTGTTATTGATTTCTAGTTTAATTTTATTGAGAGCATACTTGTGATTTCTATCATTTGCTATATCATATTTTCCCACAAATTTGATATGTTATATTTTCATTTAGTTCAAAATATTTTTTCAAAGTAATTAAATGTTTATTAATAACAACTAGGT